CTATTACACTGTAAAGTTTCCGACAAATGAGACACCTAGAATTAGACTGGAAGAAGGGAATAAAGGAATGCTAGGAGAAAGCTAATCTGTGGTAACAGCAATAGGCAAGGTGAATGGGTAGTTTCTTCCATTTCTAATTTTAGTAATTTGTTTCCCAGACCTGTAACAGTATGTTGGAGGAAAATACTGATTCAATTAAAAAATCAGAAACAATCTATATTCACATCACATTGCTAATGTAAAATCAAAATGTCTCATGACTGCAAGTACCAGAATTGCAACCTTACTTCTGTCTCTTTATACCCTTTATATGAGGAATGCAACCACTTCACAGCAGCCAGTTCTCATGTCCAAGCACAGCACCTCCCTAAGGCCACCCATGTCCCCTACTTTTCCCTTCAACCCTTTTCTACCACTGTTCAGGGAGCTCACACTGAGCATGGCACCACACTATGAAAACTTTGCTTGGTCCTCCCATTTCAGTCCCATGTATCACATTGTGCCTGCACCACTTCTGTTGACATGATGTCTATGCAGTTGGGAACTGGGTTTACTCCAGAACATATACAACTAAATTGAGCTGTCTCCTAGTAATCATAAATTACTTACCAGTGTCCTTCACTGTGATGTCGTGTATTATGTTTTTCAGTGCAATAATTTGTCATGTATGTTGTGTTTCTTTTAGATATGGTAGAGTAGATCTCTTCATACCAGTATTTTCTGTTTCTGGCACCTATGAACTGAAAGACTTTTTCATGAAACTGGGTGTGGCCAAAGTATTCAGTAACCAAGCTGATTTATCAGGAATCACTCAGGATGCCAATCTGAAGATGTCAAGAGTAAGTTTGTAAGCATAGATGGTGAATGATGGATTTATCTGTTCCTTCTGGCTAGGCAGACCATAAAAAGATCCTAGGCAACCAGGATTTTCATCCCTGACATCCAAGATGCTGTCTCCCTCTCCTGCTCCGCACTCTCACAAGTCAGCACAGGGCAGGGCTGCCTTCTGAGCTGGGTCATGCTGCTCCATGCCTCTCTGACTCCCTGCCCTGTGCTTCTGCATTTCCAGGATGCCCATTATAATTCTCCTCAGATGGCTGGGGCTGGCTTCTTAAATCCAGGACTGTCCCAGCTAAATTGGGACATCTGTTACCCTACTTCTGGCACATGCTTAGGACAGCATAAGGAGGTATAGTGGGAGTATCATTGTTTTAATACTACAATTAGCCACCTTCCTCTACATCTAATGGGTTGCTTCAAGTTACCTTTGGCAGCTCATGACTCCAAAGGCCAATTCTAGCAGATAGGAACAATGGGGATACTCAAGCAACCTTCCCTTTTCCAAAATGCTTCCTGTGAGGCTGTGGAACAGGCAGGAGGTGGCATAACCCCTACCTCTGCTGATTTTGTCCTTCATCTCTTTTCTACCCTTCCATCTCTAAATTCCAACCCTCATTGTTACGTTCCTTCCTTCTCAGCATAACCCCCATTGGCAAATTCTCTTCCCTTTTCTCTTGAGTTTCTCTCAGTTTCTGCCTCCTCCACTGTGATCTCTATCCCAACTCAGGCCTTACCTCTAAAGATACTTGTGCCCTCTCTCATTCTCTTTCCCTTTGTAAGGACACCTTTCTTATCTCTTTGCATTTCCCATGTCTTAGTCTTCCTACTCTTCTCCAGGTCTAGTCCCAGACTCCTGTCTTCAGGAAGGTGGAACGTCTCTGATATACTCACTGTGGAGCTTTCACCTACTCTTCTTAAATCTTCCCCCAGTATCTCAGATATCCTTCAGTTTTGCCTGTCTTTTATAACCTCAGTGGCCCACGCCAGATGTCAGGAGGAAAAAAAGGCACCGTCTCTCTTGGTGGTGGTTGCTTGCTTCTGTTCCTTATCATCTTCCGGCGCCTGCAGTGAGAGGCTCAAAGCAGGGCAAGGAGTCAGCCAACTCAAAATGCAGTTTTTTATTTCCCACCCAGAGGAGACTATAATTTTAGCATACCTTTTCTTTTTACGAAACAACATATTCAAGAGAAGCTGGTGTGTCCTGGTGGTGAATCCTAGGGAGATTGTGAGAGGGAGCTTGGTACATGACACCCCCTGGGCTGTTTATTAAACAACCCAGGCAAGTTCATCCCCAGCTACTGCTCCTTTTCTTTTAGCCGCTGATTGGATTCGGTGGAGATTTGGCTCGATTCAGCGGCCAAATCTCTGAATCCAAATCGAATCAGGAGCCCCTTTAATCTCTCTGAATCAGAATGGACCACTCCAAATCAATTTGGAGAAATTCAATGATTCAGACATAGACACAACTTTAAATGTTTTTTCTACATACCTCAAGGTACCAGGTAGCTCGTGAAAGCTGAGATGGTGGGGTGGATGGAGTGTCCCACAGGAGCGCAGGGGGGTCCCCAGCATGCTTGGTAGGAGATCCAGAAGTGGACCAGAAGCAGTTCTTTCCGGGTCTGCCAGGGAGCACACAGGGGACCCCCCTAATTGGCGACTGGTGCCTCCTGGGTTTGGGGGGGCACCCAGGGCAGCCAATCGCCGAGCCAGGGGAGCACAGTACTTCCAGTCCACTTCTGGGTTCACTGCCAAGCATACAGGGGACCTCCTCATGCTCCTGTGGGACACCCTATCCACCCTGCTATCACAGTATTCATGAGCCATGCCTGGTACCTTGAGGTACATAGAAAAAACATTTAAAGCCGTGTCTATGGCCAAATCGCTGATTCTCTGAATCAGCATCGAATCTTCAGATTCAGATGCAGCTAAATTGAATTGGGACAGTGATCCGTATCAACTAACAAATCACTGTCCCCAATTCAGGCTGAATCCAAATCTGAAATGCATACCACCCATTTTGCACACCCCTACTTTCTTTGATTCATTTTTGCAAGGTGCTCACAGGGACATGATGAATCATAGACTCTTAGAGAAGCAGGATTGGAAGGGGCCTCCAGAGGTCACCTAGTCCAACCCCTTGTATGAGACAGGATCACCCCTATCCAAATCTTCCTGTACGAATCCATTGGCTAACCTATCAGTAAAACTATACAGTCAGCCCCAACACAACCACAAGACATAACACCCTAACCTGGTAGGGTTAGGTAGCCAATGTTCTACTACTACAATGTAAGCATTTTAGAGATCCCAGGGAGAGGGCAACACCTCTGCTCCAAAGGAAGGCAAAACCACCGCAGTCCATATTAATCTGACCATGGAGCAAAATTCCTTTCTGACCCTAAATATGGCTATCAGTTTGACCCCGAGTGGAAGGGTAAGACACGCTAGCCAGGAACACCTGGGTTTAAGTCTTGGCAAGAGCACTGGCAAACCCCAGTTAAAATCCCCAGCACTGGATACAGCCAACACCCAATTCCTCTGTGGAAAGAAAACCACCCCTAACATGTAGCAGCAGGAGAGGGAAAACATTCCTTCCGGGCTCCACATGGCAACCAGCAAGCCCAAAAGCATAGGAAATACCCATGCTTCATGGCGAATGTTCATGAGAGTGGTGTTCTGGCTGCAACAAATCAGTAGCATACCAAATCGTGATTTCATGATTTTCCTGGAAACCATGAAAAATGGTGGTTTCCGTGATCACTGCAAAAATCAGTGGTTTATATGTAATTGCCAGGAAAAAAACTTAATAAAAATAAAATGCTGGGACCCTAGTGGGAGACAGCGGTTACTGTGGCCCAGCCTTACTGGGCAGGAGGGTAGAAGGCACCATTGTGACGGAAGTAGCCAAGATGGCAACCACTCCCTCCACCACTGATTGGTGGAGAGGGCTGCCTTTCATGCAGCCCCACCCCTCCCTGCCAATCAGTGGTGAGGGGCAGGGCTGCATGAAGAGCAGCCCTCTCTGCCAATCAGCAGCAAGAGGCTGGGCCATCAGGGTTCTTTGGCCAATCAGCTAACCTCTATAAGCCCATGAAAAGGGTGGCCAGCACCACGATCAGCCCACAAAATTGCCTATCTGCTGCCTCAATTTGGGTAGGTCCTTAGGCATGCCTACAGTAGTGTGACTGGGGCAGCCTGGGGAAGTGGGAGGGGTGGAAAAAATGGCTGCTACAGCAACCATATAATCACATCAGCGACCAAACATCACTGCTACTCCCTTGTGTGGCAGATGCACTGGGTGCCCGGGTGTGTCATTATGCTTCTACAACAAATACTGTTATAAAAATAACATTTGATTCTCTTCCTCCTAACATTATTTTTAAAAAGTCCTTCAGTGATAATCATTGATCAAACTATCCATAGGATCTTCTGCATGAGGAAAATTGCAAATCCCACTAAAAGATGAATGATTAGCCACAGCATATGTCATGAGTCTCTACTTAGTGATCATGAACATGTTCCCATGATCATGTACATGTTCAGAGATACTAGTAACATAATCATAATGTAATGAACATACATTTCCAGACAAATAAGAAATGAATTTCTACCTTACAATGATCTGCTGACTTTCCTTTGCTGAAAAGTGATTAGCACAAAGACTCTGTTACTGTTTCCTCTAAACAGCTTGTTGGTTTTGAGCTACAAGTTTCTGAATGCATGCCCTGATTACAAAATCATGGAAGGACAGGAAAATATCTTGTCAAGGGGCTGTCATTTAATATACACCTACTGCTAAAAGCATCTCCACCTGCGCAAAACATCCTTTCCACCTATAAATGAATTCACTTCACACAAGATCCTATGATTCATTATGCAGTGCCTTAATGCTGACTCCAGCAACTTAGTATGTGTTCACTAAACATTTTGCACCCTGGGGCACTATGCCTATGGGAAATATGAACTCAAAGTTATGGTTTGCAGATGTTAGGATTATACAAACTTGGCAGAGATCCAGCTCTTTATCTTGTGCATTCACTGTACAGATCAGTTTCTCAAACACTTTTAGTGTATAAGGCCTGAGAAGCCCATTACCAATACACACCAGCTCTTACTCATTGTTTCTCGTTAGAAGGTAACTTTTGTTTCTTTCCTTGCAGGCTGTTCACAAGGCCATGCTGAATGTTTATGAGAATGGTATGGAGGCAGCAGCAGCTACTTTTCTAGAAATAGTAGCTGACTCTCTTTCTCCTACCATAGAATTCAACAGGCCCTTCTTGATGATGATTGTTGATCAAGCTACCCACAGTATTCTCTTCATGGGAAAAATCATGAACCCTACTGAAAAATGATTGATCAGCTGTTTCATCTGTTATAGTGCTTAACATGGTCCAACCTTCTACCACCATGGGCACTTCTACCACACACACTTTTAACTACACTGATGCATGCTTTCACAAGTGACTAAAATGTGATCGTGGTAATGTTTATGCCATACACTGCTGGATATTTCTTTCCCCATTAAAAAAATCAATGAATTTGTTCTTTCCACAACAATTTTTTCTTAGGTTTTATTGTATAGATTCTGTTAATAGAAAATTCAATACCACAGACCTGGCAAATCCAGGAAAAATCCTAGTCAAGGTTATAAAACACAGTTCATACAGAGACACTACATTCATCACTTACACTAACAGCTTTTGTAACTGCATGGGAAAGTTCTTATATGGCTAACCTATTGAGAAGCATAATGTGCAGTCCAATAGCTCCTTTTTAAATTAAAACCTTAATGCTGACCTCAGCAGCAGTAAACTGTACTTAGTACCTGTGCACAATCTGTGTTTTTTGGGAAGTGAAACATTTGTAGAAAAAAGTTGAACTTGTTATTGAGGATTTGAGTTCTTAGGATTATGCAGATTCATGGAAAAATATAGCTTTGCAGAGCTATACTGCTCTTACTACTGTTAACAGTGTCCACTAGATAGGTCAAGTCAATGATGCACATGCATTATATTTAGTGTTCTGAAATCAATGTATGTTTGGGATCCTCCTGTGAAAATACGTAACAGGGAAGCCATCAAGGAGACATCCCAATACACTACTGCAGGGAAAAAAATGAAAATACTGAAAACAAAATGGAAAGAAATCTCCAAATGAACACAGGACCCTTTTTTTCCTGAAGCCAGCCCAGTCACCACCCATTCAGATCTACAATTACAGGGTCCTGATGATGCTTTTGTAAAAACTAAGGAGGTAAAAGTTCAGTTTGCATTGCAAGAGGCTATATAGCAATCTGGATCCAAGACCCTTCAACTGAAAGACAAAATAGGATTCAGTACAGAGATGGAGCACTACTCCATTGACTCTCCAAATTCCCCTATGGTGTCTGTTGCTTTTCTGGTTCCTGTTCTCTGCCCCTCATGCAGACACACCTCCTCTCTTCTAATGAAACCAGCAAGAAAGTGTCCAGTTGCTCATAAGAACATGCAAATATAAGAATTGCCATTTACTGAGTCAGACCATAGGTCCATCTTGCCCAGTATCCTGCATCTCACAGTGACAGAGAGTGGATGTTGCCAGGCAGAATGAACTTGGTATGACCAGAGTTATTTTCCCTCCCTTACTTGCAACCTCCAGCACAGGTCTAGGAAGTTCTGATTCAGAGGCTGTGTCCCTAGCTCCCACACTCAATAGCTACTGATGCACCTTTCCTCCAATAATTTGTTCAATCCTTTTTTGAATCTGGCTAAACTGTCAGCTTCCACAAGATCTGATAGCCTTGAGTTCCATACTTAATCCATGCTGTGTGAAGAAGAACTTTGTTGTATTGTTAGTTTTAAACGTACTCCCTACTACTTTCATTGTGTGACCCCCTAGTTCTTGTGTTGTGTGAGGGAGTAAATAATACATCTCTATTTACTTTCTCTTTGCCATTTAGTATTTAGTAAACCCTTAACATGTATCCCCCCAAGAGTCTCTTCTCTAAACTAAATAGGCCTAGCCTCTTTAGTTTCTCCTCCATACCACTAATCAGCCTTGTTGCCCATTTCTGGACCTTTTCTTGTTCTTCTATATCCTTTTTGAGGTGTGGAGACCAGAACTGGACACAGTATTCAAGGTGTAAACACACCATGGATATATAAAGGGGCATAATGCTACTTACCATTTTGTTTATAATTCCCTTCTTAATAATCCCTAACATTTTGTTTGCCTTTTTGATGGCTGCTGAGCATCAAGTTGATGTTTTTAGCAAATTGTTCACAATGGGTGCATCTACACATGAGCATCACCATCTACACATACACCCACATTAAGGTACAGTAAATTCATTAACTCCACTGTAGGATAGTACTGTTCCACAGCGGAGTAGTTCTGTGTGCTGAAATGCATGTGTAGAGGGACTAAGGCAGGAGGTAGGAGGGTGAGCTCTTAGGAGGTAGGAGGGTGAGCCTTAGAGCTGACCCTTAGAGCTGACTCTAAGGGTCAGCTCTAAGGCATGTGTAGAGCTGACTAAGGCAGGAGGGTGATACAGGGCGGGGGCTGCCTGCCAGTATGTCAGTATCATTATTTACTGCTAAGTATTCAAGTTCCCCCACCTTTAATCTTAGACTTCTAGCATTAGTATAAAAGCTTGTATCCTTTTTATTATTGCCAGGTTGACTTCTTCCCCATTTTTTATGGTTCCACCCCATAGGGTGTGCCAGTCTAAACTGTGTTCTCAGCCACACTTGATGCCTTTCACCCATTTTTAATTTAAAAGCTGCTCTACCACCTTTTTAATATAATGTGCCAGCAGTTTGGTAACGATGTGGCTCAGGTGGAGACCATCCCTCCTGTACACACTCCCTCTGTTCTAAAAGCTTCCCCAGTCCCTAATAACCTAAACTCTACACCATTATCTCAGCCACGCATTTAGACTCTGGGACTCTGCTTCTCAACCTGCCCCTGTGCATGGCACTGGAAGCATTTCAGAGAATGCTACCTGGACTCCAACCTCCTACCTAGCAGCCTAAACTTAGCATCCAGGACCTCTCTGCTGCCCATACCCATCTCATTAGTACCCACATGGACCATGACCACTGGCTCCATCCCAGCCCTCCCTAGCAGCTTATCTACATGTCTCATGAGGTTTGCTCCCTTTGCACCCATCAGGTAAGTTACCATGTGATTCTCTTGGATGTCACAAACCCAGCTATCTATGTGCCTAATAATCAAATAGCCCACTACTACCACCTGCCTCCTTGTGCAATTCCCTGCCTTAGTGCAAGAGGATGCTTTAACATCAGCTGGAAGGTGGGTCCCATCTAAGGGATGGTATTCCTCCTTCTCAGCCTTCCATCTCCAAGGCTTTCTTTCTCCTCAGCAACATGAGAGCTGCTACAATGAAGGTGGGACTGCTTGCTCTACAATGTCCCTGAAAGCCTCATCTGTAAACCTCTTTGCCTCCCTTAGCTACTCCGTTTCCACCACTTTAGTCCTGAGAGAATGTACTTCTTGTCTCGGAGCCAGGAGTTACTTGCACTGGGTGCGTACATATGAAACCTGCCCCCAGGGCACGTAATCCTACAGGCTGCACTCAGTACAATAAATAGGGTAGCCCTGCCCTGCTGCTGGACTTCTATCTGCATTTTTTTAAGTGTTAAAACATAGTTTCCTCTTTTAAGAATGTTTTGATTATGGGTTTCCTTACACTAAAAACTTGAACTAATGGACTGAATCAAGTACTCAATAAATGCTCAGTAACCAGAATTACTGTGCAGTAGCGCTGGCAAATGTCCTTTAAGTGACATTACTGAGCAGTAGCCGAATAATACTGCGCAGTAGCATGTTAGTGCTGTGATGCACTACTGCACAGTCAGCATCTCACGTAGATGCGCCCACTCAGCGGTATAATCAAATACTAAATAAATGCACAGTAACCACTGTGCAGTAGTGTCTCATGTAGACACAGCCAGTTCTAGTTATTTCAGCTAGATATCTAGGTTATTTATTCTTAATTAAAGAAAGAACTTTACCTCAAAAAATCCCCTTCAAAGATGGGAGAGGCAAACTGACTTGTAAACCACACTGTTCCCTGCTCTCCTGGCTATTCAGGAGGTCTTTTGTGCTCTTCTGGGCCTGGCCTGGCTTCGCCTCTTGTTAGGGCTTTTGTCAATTCAGGCAGCAACCACTCAGCTAGCAGCACTCCCCAAATGCTCACAGCACAGGGCCCAAACACATAGCCAATGAACATATATGCCCACGAAACCAAACACAGACATACCAAGCTCACTTACCTTCCAGGAACAGGATCTGGTGCCTGGCTCCTCTTCCACTTCCTCCTCTTGTGCCCAGCAAACTGCTTGCAAACTGCTCTGTTTGCTGTACCCTGTTCACTGATCATATCTATTCTCTGACTTATCAGTACCAAAGGCAGGAGTTTCACTTACCTAGTAAGCGCCAAGCTGGGTCTCAGAAATGTTCTGGTTATCTAGCCTCTCCCCGCTAGGCAAGAAATTAACTAGGATAAATTATGGACAAGGCTGTGATGAGCCTCTGCCCTTTCTCAGACTGAAAAGTAGATGAACTGACTATTTATGCTTAGTTTAGGGTCAAGGGAGGGGTACTGGCATCAAATATTCTCTGTGCTGGTGCTTGAGGCAGCCATACACCCTCTCAGTACTAATCGTGTCATTTATTTCATTTGTCACTTGTCTCCTGTAAACCTGTTCTCTACAGTCACCCTCAACAGTCTACAGTCAGATGCACATCGATCATCTAAAAAAGACAAACCTACTGACACAAAACTATGGAGACTTAGCAACAGAGACTGCTTCTGAGATATAGGCAGGATGCTTCCAATGAACTTGCTTCATAACCAGTGAAAAAAATAGACTGTTAGAAGGCAAGACTACAATCTAGTTATTATCAAACCATGAGCAATTCAAATCTTGAATGTGTGATTGTTCTGTTTGTACTCTCACTCAGAATCATAAAATCAAAAAATCTAGAAAATTAGGGTTGGAAAGGACCTCAGGAGGTCATCTAGTCCAATCCCCTGCTCAAAGCAGGACCAGCCCCAACTAGATCATCCCAGCCAAGAATTTGTCTAGCCCAGTTTTAAAAACTTCCAAGGATAGAGATTCCACAACCACTCTGGATAAGCTGTTCTAGTGCTTAACTACCCTCCTACCAAGAAAGTTTTTCCTAATATCTAACCTAAACTTCCCCTGCTGAAACTTGAGACCATTGCTCCTTGTGCTGTCATCTGCCACCACTAAAAATAGTCTAGCTCTCTTTCTGAGACTTCTTTCCCATGTGGGCTGAAAGTTACTTGGTCTTGTGTTGCTCCTGGGCAAAGCATAGCTTTTCT